ACGGTATCCGTGCTGAGGTACTGCTTGACTTTGTCAAGGGTTTCGAGGAATTGTTGAAGTGGTCGTTCTGCATCGGAATCATGGATCTTGAATACTTCAACACTTTCCCATCCCATGTCAGCTAATCCCATTTGGATGCCATGCGTCCCACTTTGGGTTCCCACGCGGAACATCAGGTCGGTGATAAGGATGGTAGTTCCAGCCCTGAAGTCACCTGCCAACATGTCGTGATCTCTTGGACCATTTGGTGCTTCGATGATCCTGCAAGCAAGTGGGTTGGTGATCATCTTCTTGATGCGGCCCAAGTCAGATTGGTTGGCGACATTCACGTCGTGCTGCCCTAGCATCATGAGCATTCCTGCAGTCGACAAATAGCACCCTGTCCGCGTCAGCATGTACTTGCGGACGACGTGGCTGTAGCACCTCAGCCAGTCCTTCTCGGAGATGGTGGACGCGGTGTCCTCCGTCACGACCGCCGGATTGCAGATCCCGAAGACCATGCATGCATATGCGGTCACTCTCCTCAAATATTGTGCCCAAGGTGCTGAACCTGAAGTGCTGGCAGCTTGAGCTGCTGGGCCTTGGATGATTGATAGTAGGAAGTGATCCCGCTCGTCCATCCATGCCGATGTGATGAACTCTGAGTTCCTTTGGTCGGGCATTGAGGATGTCCTGAAAAGATATCCGGTTGGTACCCGAGGAATCACCCAGTCCTTTCTCGCGGGAGGTGTAGATGGCCTTGCCTTCGATGGTGGTGCTTTTGGTGGTGGTGCACTCCCAGCTGCAGAGCTGGAACCATCGTGTCCACCGAAGGTGGAACCACTAGGCCCAGTCTGTTGTTGTTGCTGTTGTGCCCGCTGCGCATCGGCTTCCCTCTGTTGCTTGTCATCCATCATTCTATAGGTGAAGGATCCCAACCTGGATGATCCGGTTGACTTGGAGGGTTTCTGCCGTCTTTCGGCATCAGCGGAATGTCCCAACCATCGATGTGGGAGACCTCTGTGGCTCCTTGGCCCATCTGTGTGGTGGCAGTGGTCGTCACATAGTCGCGAATACAGGAAAATGTCCTGTTTCGTTTCTCCACCTCCTCGAACATGCCCTGATCGGCCTTCTCGATGTTGTAGCCCCCCAACTCCCATATGTCGTCGCGGAGGTCAATGGCCTTCTTCATTCTGACCAGATCGGCTCTGATGATCTCGCTCAGGTGCGACATGGATTTGAAGTTTTCCAGTCGCGCCATCCACTCATGTAGCATCTTGGAGACCATGAGGATGGTTTGTAAGTGGACGACGGCCGCCGTCCGCTCTAAGCTGAGCTCATAGTTCATCGACATCCAGTCTTCCAGGACATTCTGGACAATGATGGTCTTACCCTGGCTGCTTGTCGCCCTGGCATTGTGGCGACGGAGCGCATAGCCTAAGCTGTAGCTCTCCTCGTACATGATGTTAACCAGGTATTTGATGCGGTCTTCAACTTCGTCCGGGGCAGGTGCCTCTCGTTGCATCACTTCAAATGACCATTTTTCCCACTTTCGACGGGCAATCTCCTCGAAGTTCGTCCTCTTCCGGATTTGGTAACATGAACTTCCATATGGAGGGTATGTCTGATTCAAGGATCCGAGGTGTGTTGGACTCGTATTTGCAATCTTGTCACGTAGTCCCTTAACCGTGATCTCCTTGTTGATCATACTATTTTGCCCGGTGTAGTGGTCCTTGAGGGTGTCCCATAGTTCATCTATTCTAATCGCACACTCAAAGGTGCACAAGAGCTTCATGATGCTCTTCTCCTCTGGGTTTCTGGCGGCCCCTTCCACCAACTTTGATAATCGGGCCCCTTTGTCGATGAAACTGATGGCAGACATCTTCAACTCATTCTCATTGGTCACTTTTGACAGCATCTTCATTAGCAACCTGATTGCATGAGTTACGAATATTCTGCCACTTCTATCCATGACAAAGGCTAAGGCCACAACGACAGGAGGAGAAATCTTTACTCGATCCAACCATTCGTCGAGGTCCTTGTCCTTGTAACCCCTGAAGTTTGCCTCCTCATAGGTTGAGAATGGAGCAGGAAGGTTGTGCTCTTGTTTCTTCTCCTGAATGAGGGACAGGGTTGACTTCAGTAAGCTGATCCCCTTGGCCGCTGATGGGATTACAAGGTCAGTTCCAGCCATTGCGAAGACCGAAATGAGGCGAGGAGAATCCGGATCCGTCAAGGCGCACCAACGACGCAGGTAACAGCCTGACTTCACCTTCAATCTACCTTCAACGGGATCCGGATCCACCAAGAGTGATCCACGAAGTGGATACAGCCTCAGCTTCACCTTCACACCGTCTCGTCGGGTGATGAAGTTAATAAATAACTGTTCATTGATGGTCTTCACGTTGGTGTTGCATTCATAGTCATTCATGATGACACATGCACATGACTTCGACTTATAGTAATCTTCTTCTTCCATAACCTTTGGTCGAAATCTCCTTCCGTAAACGTTGTTAATCAACATTTGATTTGTGACACCACGAAGGATGCATCTGACAATCTTCTCGGTATATAATTGTGTTGCACGTGTTTCTCTACCCGCACATTGACCGTGAGTGTGTGAGCCATCACATTTTTCATGCAAGTCAAAGAACTCAACCCCCCATGATACGATCCTCCATGGTTTCTTGATTGCGGTCCCAACATCTTTGAATTGTGATTTCAAACCATACATGCATCCATCAAAGTCATGCACAGTCGATTGGGTTCCACTGATCAGAAACTTCATTCTCTCATCATTCCAACCCCAACCCCCGGGCACATCCAAATTTTGGATCGCTTGAATTGGCCAGATTTTGGATCGCTGAGATCCATTTTTTGGAGCGTACGGCTTTTCCAACGCGGATGTGTCAGAGCAGTTCGTGCAGTCATGCGCTTCCAACTCACACAAGAAGCACCATGCATGTTCAAAAGCAAAGTGTCCACAGCAGTTTGTGCAGTCGTTGTGCTGACACTTACACCAGAAGCACTGTGCATGTTCAAAAGCAAAGTTTCCACAGCAGTTTGTGAAACCTGAGGGCTGCAACTTGAGCCAATCTAGATATATATTTATATATGTATATATATAATAATATATATTCTTTGTGACGTACTTGGGGGGGAACGTAAAAATAGCAGAAATAATATGTAATAAAGAGTAATAAAGTATTTCTACATGTACATGTTTATATACTACATACAGTATTTATTTTCATAAAAACGAAGTACGCCGCGAATTCTTTCCCGGTATTTTCCCAAACGTTCGTTTGCTCAAAAAAAAACTTCAAACCGCAGGTGTGATAAACACACAAATGTTTGAAACATGATGGCTTCAGTATGTCACAGGTGGTCTCTTCACTTTTTTTCCAGGCAGGGCATGGATCAATCATCCGGAATGACCGCTAAAGCGGCTGCAACACGATGAATGGAGAGTCGAATGCCAGTAAGAATTTTCGCATCGTCCTGTCAGGGGTCCCTAAGTGCTGCGAGAAAAACCCTTTGGAAAATAAAACTTTTGTTTGGACATTTTTTGCCACACTTAGTCCTCTTCACGAGAACTCGCTTTGAATGTTTCCTTCCAAAGATTTTCCAGAGATAGATTTTCGGAAGTAAATTCTCTGGAACGTGAATTGTGAGCTGTCTGCCAGACATCGAAAACAGCCTGGCAAAAACCTGGAGTGTAGATCCCAGAATCTTTCAAACGTTTCCCTCCTGAAACGAATTTTCTGTTGTTGCTCTTGGACCGGTGGATTCTGTAGAAACACTTTTCGTACTTGGTCTGCTTCAATTTTCGATTCCAGTGAAACTTCAATGCTGTCTTGCACTTTTTGGACTTGTTGATCCATAAGTTTCGTGTGGCCATCACTGACATCAATTTTGTACCCAAAATTTCTTGCCAGAGTGCCTCCATTTTTGCGCTCCACTGTCGACGTAGTAGACCAACAATTTGATCTTTGATGTTTGACATGAAAACTGACGGTTTCGGCAAGGGATGCCCAAAGCAGCGCATCCACGAATGCACCCTTGAAGCTTGAATCAAATCCAAAAATCTGGCCATCTCAGGGAATAGCCATAGTAAACTGCTCCCAGGTTGCTCAAGCCTGTCATTTGGATTTCCATTTGAACAAACCTGTTAACGAATGGTTTTCAAACTTTATGAAAATTACCCCGAACAAAAAAAAACTGATGTCTTAAATTTGAAACCAAGGAACAGAAAATACACACCTCTGCAATGTGCTACAGCCAGCAGTACCAACAGGTTGATTACCAATTGGTTAGACCCACGGATCTTTTTCTTGTTCTGGTTGCCATAGGGGAATTCTGAACTTCGCTCGTGGTAGGCTGCAGATATGAATACGAAGAGACCACATGGTGGTCCCAGCAGCGCAAAGCCTTCTGGAACCTGGTTCAAGCGGGCACACCATGGTGTGACGTTTAAAAAACTTAAAGAACAAATATGTTAGGGAATGGACTGGATGACAAATTTTGGATGTATTTTCATACTGATTCCAATGCAGACAGGAAACCACTGACAACAGAATTGTGAGAATGTAGAAGAATCCAAATTCAGTGAGCAAATTGTGTAGCTTCGCATTCAACAACACATCAATCGGAGTGCATGACTTCATCTTCTCACGACAGGTGCGTTCAAAATTGCCATGGCCAGAAAAAATGTCCATACATTGTAAGCATCGCAGATTCAGGGCATCATGGTTCTCAATAAATTCCTTCACGCGAGGTAGACATTGAGAAGCATCAAAGAAACCATCATCAGGGTTCACCTTTCGAAAGTGTGGTCCAGTAGCCATGCAGCGTTTCCGTGAATTTGGAGGCGCGCCCACTTGGCACAGGAGTAAGCTTGTCACACAAAATGCAACAGTACCAAAAGGTTTGTTACAGCGATGGTTCTCAAACCGTTTTTTTCCCCCTTCCAAATCATGGACAAGTACATACTGAGTACATAAGACTTGGCATGAGTTTTTTCACCGACGGTTTTTGTCAAATGCGTTGGGTTTGATCACCTTTTGGTGATGTTTGGAATGCAACTCACGGCATTTCCAGTGAATAGCATTCATCCATGTTCTCCGGTGGCATGATCTTGCAATTTTTGCAAGCAACCCATTAAAACTCTCATCCCTGTAAGTTGTGTACAATCTTGGATTGCCCTTAAACAAAGATCTTTGGATCAAATGCAGCATGAAGTGACACTTTGGGGTGATGTTTCCACCCGCTTTGGCATAGAAACTCAGAAATCGAACGTAGGAATTGAAAGCTTTTTGCACTTGACTGCGAGTCATCTTTCGATGCTCAGCTTGAAAAACATCATCTAACCCCATGGCAGCTTTGGCTGCTTCCAACAGAAATTTTCCTTTCCGTTTTTTCTCAGGGGTCAACTTGTCAAACCGTTCCAGGTGGATTCCAAAAAGCCAGTGCACAAATTCGAGCAGGCCGTGGCTCTCAGCAGCTTTGGCACCCAAGGATGGGTGATCCTCTGAACCCAACATTCCCAATGTCAAATTCCATACCTGGGCGGAGAGGGATTGGTGCTGTCAACAGAATCTAGAATCAAGACCTGACATCCTTTGATTTTTGAAAAAATAAAACGAACAATTCATCAAATTTATTGGGAAGTTACTTCGGAGCTCTTTCCAACCCAGTCTGGGTCACTCCTCTTGATCTTGTAGAAATTGAATAGTTCAGCTTTGATGGCCAACAGGCTGATCTTTCTACTGTCAGCCGCATCGAGTCCAGTGTCGGGGGCCCAAAGACCAGAATCAATGCAGAAGTTCAATGACAGGCTGACCAATAATTGTAAAGGTCCAAGGTGCCATCCATGCATGAGGTCTAGAGACCACATTTCCAAGCCAACCCCTTTCAGTTCCATCAGCGGGCAATCATGAGTCAAACGGAAATCTAAAGGAGACACCCAGAATGATGCCTTGAAAGGTACAGTCAGAAATTCAAAAGAAGCGACATCAGGCATAGTAGGTGTTGGCATCAATCGTGCCCATTGTGGCAGCCCCAAACATGCACACGGTTTGGATAAAACACGCCCCCGACGATTCTCTTTGCACACAAGCAGCCTGAAGATCTGCTTCTGCACGAGGCCAGAAGTGATTTCTACAACCTTGGATGCGCATGCCAAGGTGACACTGGGTGGGAAACAGGGCTGGTGAGTATACCCAGAACATACCCCAACTAGCTTTAATAGGAGTTAAGGGGATTAATTAACTTGCTCCAAACTATCTATAAACCCAGAAGCCTTGACGCTTTGGTCCACATCATTCAAGTAGTCATTGGAAGAGTATGCAGTGTAGGGTATTGAATCCAAAGTGATTGCATCCAGGTTGAGCTGTTGAATCTCACTTTGACTAATTCGACATAGCGGGCAAGGATGGGTTTTGTGACTCCAGTATCTCATCCCAAAGATTTGCAAGAAAGCAGGCCAGTCACCTTGGATGTCTAGCACCGCACATCGTAGCTTGGACCCAGCTTCTAAGTACTTCAAGTCTTTCACCCATGCAAGTAAAAGTGGGTACAAAGTATCCCAGCCACGGCAGCCACATTTGCACATGTCATCGCTACCTGAGTCACAAGACGAAGGATGGGATATTGATATCCTTTTTTGAGAGAGAGAGATATATATATATCAGATAAATATATGTATGTTATATATATATTTTTTTAAAAAATTTAAAGATATGCATTCCTATATCATTGACCTCGGCATCATTTTCATACTTGAGGGATTGGGGTTATAAACCGACTTCTTGCAATCCAGTTGCGGACAAGAAATGATAAGAACTTTTGGCCAGATAAGATGTCAGTGACGTAGAATCCCATGAATGAATCGTGGTTGGTATACGACACACCATCCCAGTAAAGAGCAACAGGTCGCACTGGCCATTGAAAATTTTCAGCTCTAGCACCTGCAACTACAGGGTGATTGTCGTAGTTGTCCAATCCCCCAACAATCTTCTCAAAGGCAGCTCGGCTGTCATGGGTACTGAAGTTCAGCATCTCTTCTGTGAGAAACTGGTTGAAGGCAGTTGACGGGAGGTAGATAGGTACTTGCTCTACACTTCGACGGGACTCTCTTTTCACAAACATGGGGCAATCCACATATGCCAGATCCAGGTCAGGCCAAATTTTACCTGCGTGCAATTTCACATGTTCGTTGCCATGCTTTGTCGCAACCTCTGGTCGAAGGGCTAAGTCACTAACCCCAGCTCCACCGGCTTGGGTGATGTAGTAGGACAGGGTAGCCACATCACTGCCGGACAAACCTTCCAGGCAATACTTATCCAGCAAAAACTTTCGCAGTTCTAATCCCCATTTGTTTTTCTCATCAGTTATGAAACCATCTTCAACAGTTTCATCAAACGCGGCACTGTTGCTATGGACCCGGGCTTTTTTGAACATGGGATTGAGACCGCAAAGACTGCAGGATAGCAATGATTTTGGGTATGCCATGTATGTATCTATATATGTAACTATATATGTATCTATTAATTTGTCACCAACTTGATTCTTTCCGGTTGATTTCCACGGACAGCTGCAACAAAAGCAACAACTTGTTTTCTCACCTTTTGGCATGACTCACACGGAGTTCCCCCCTCCGCGTATCGAGAGACTTGGGTCAAGACTGACCTGAAAGTTTACCAGATGCACCCACACCTGTAAAACAATCCTTACACATGTTAAAGACTTTTCGGGATACCAAATGGTTGTACTTAAAAACTATCCAACTCCTCCAGCACAGAATCTTGTTTTGAGCAAATGGTGATATATATGGATATCATCACAGGTGATCCATGGGAGTCATCAGGCAGCTCATTGGCAAAACTACCATTTGGAAACGCATTTGCGATTTACGGGCCCGCTTTTTGGGGGCTGGATTCTCAGCACCAGACATGGCATGAGACATCGAATTGACCTTTGTAGACAACGCAGCCATCCTTAGATAGAATCATGTGGAAACTTGCAAGCAACCCTGGGGACAACCCTTGCGTTCACTTCCCATTATGAAATAAACATGTTGCAGTCTAATTTGATCAGAGTTTCTGAGCTCCAATGGAACCACAGCGATCAGCGAACAGAATCATCATGTTTCCGTACTGGTCACCGTATTTCTTCTTGAAGCTTCGCATCCCGGTCTTGTCGATCAGCGCGATCTTGAGCTCATCAGCAAAGTCACGCAAGTCTTCCCCATCGGAAGGAAACAGGGCATCTTGAAAGGTTTTGAGAAGCTGGATCCATTCAGTGAGGAAAGGTTTTGCCCACTTCCACTCACTAGGTAATTGATCTCCAGACCCAGAGACCTTGTCCATGATCTGCTGGCTCTTCTGAAGCTGTGCCATGATGTCTTTTGACCGGTCTTCTGCGGCTTTCACAGGTGTAATCTCCTTCTTAACTTTGTTGCCTTTCTTCTGTCCACGCTGACCAGTCTTGCCCTCCTCCTGATCCTGCGCCCCATCACCATGAGCATCTGGTTCATCAGCTCCAGGTTTCGCTGCTTTGCCTTTGGCTTTTGCTTTGGCTTTCACTTTGGCTGCTGGCTGGCTACTGTCCACCTTGTCGTTGATTCCGGGAACTGTAACATTCATCTCACACCATCCTTGGATTCCATGGGGGGACTTTGTAACATCTTCTATCTTGACGCTTTCGACAGGGATCTGGTAGTAGCATGCGTACTTGCGAATGGCCTTGCACTTGCAGGCCTCTGTCTCAAAGGTTGAGGAGCTGTCAACACTGATGGCCATTTCTTTCCAAACTTCCTTCTCAGACTTGCTGACCAACTTCTCCACTAGGAGGAAGTTCCAAGCTTCGGTCCATTTGTTCCACTTCACAAAGGCTTCCTGGAAGGTTGGTTTTTTCCACTAAAATATTGATATGCGTTGATATGTTGCAAGTAGGCTTTTTTCTAATTGTTAAAAACTGCACAACAAACCCCCAGTAGATGGAGAACAACCCCAACCCTGTCCTTAAACTGCTCGCAGTTGGAAATGTAGCAGCTGGCTTGTCGAATGGCTTCCGGCTGGTCAGTACCTCCAAAGTGTTGTTGAAGTTGCAATTCATTCTTCCAAGTCCCAATCTCCTCCTGCTTGGTCACAGTTTCTATGACATGCACCCGCTTGTGCATGATGGTCTCAAAGTTCCTGACCATTGCCCAGCTCTGCCTGAAGCGTTTCTTCAAGTCATCAAAGAGCCAACGGTAGGCCTCAGCAGCCTTTGGATCCTTCTTGAAGGCCCTGTAGAGTGAGTTCCCCAAGGGTGAATGGGCATTGACATTCAAGCCAAAGCAGGCCCATCCTTCCAGACCTTCCGGTGATTTGGTAACCATCTCCTCAGTGACTTCTGAAGGTTCCAAGCCATGATGCTTGGCGTATTCCACCAAAGCCCTTTCCACGGTAGGAGGCTCATCCTTGCTAGGCGAAGGTCCTTCTCCATCACCTTGAATCTTCTTAGCAGGAGTCGCGGTAGGTACCTCGTTTGGAACTTGTAGTTCTTGGCGATCGCTTCCATTTTGTTCTCCTTCTCCCCCACCCTCCGCAGCAGCAGGGCTAGGCATCATCTCCTGCGTGAGCGCGCGAAGATTTGTATCGTAATGATTTGCAAATATATGCGTCTTTCTTTATTGCCAGGGTCTATGTCAATAGTGTTTCATCAGTTTTGAATTCTTTTTAGGGTGTTACCAATATTCACCTAGCATATCTATCTATAATATAATTTTGGGTATCCTATTTCAAGATCAGGGAGTGGTTTCCCAGTGTATCTGAAGCCTGTCCTCTGCCGGTTTCTCCATTGGAGGTACGGCCATTGCTTCGAGATCCGAAGATGGCAAGGTGTCGAGCTGGGACGGGTCAACCACCATTGGAATCACAGTTCTCGTGCTAAAAATGCCTAAAGTGACACCATTGAAAAATCACAGAGGACCCTCATCGGACCCTCATCGCTGTCAGATCCTACATTTTTGGGGCCCTCATCGATGCCTCATCGAATGGTTTTCTTTTACTTTAATCTTCGGACGTCCTTTTAGTTGTGGACCTCATCGACCCCTCATCGAAAAAATGGTTTTACCCCCTCATCGGCATGGATGAGTTGAAGTATGAGGTCCCTCACCGAACCCTCATCGCTGATTTCTCTTTCTGTTTAAATTGGGAAGATACTTGGAAACAAGTGCCCTCATCGCAGCCTCATCGATCTAAGCGGGCTGGACCTCATCGCCCCCTCATCGCATATAATGTTGATCAATGTTTAATCAAAAGTAATGATTTATGTGCAAAATCATGGACTTCGGAAATAAAAATGCATGACAGCCATCCACAGCTCTGGTCAGGTGCTCCACTGATATTTCACGGGAACTCAGTCCGACCGGAGTGGATGGAGATTCTGGAGGTTTGGCCCCCTTGCCACAGGGTGTGACACAATGAAATGAGATCTGGATGCAATCATATCCATTGGTTTGGGATTTCGGTCCAACTGTGTCACATCTATGTGAGCAATACATGATTTCATATAGGCTAAACGGGATAAGGGTTCAGTCATGTTGTGGATCTGCTGATATCAGATGTATCTACAGAATGGGTTTTATCATGTTTTATCATGGTGTGTATATATATATATATCTATCTATCTACCTATCTATCTATCTATCTATATAAATATGAGGACCGGTTTCAAAATCGAGATCCAGCAAGGTGTGCCTTAATGCCCTGTAATGATTTTGGGGGATCCCAATTAGAGAACGTAGTCGAATTTACTATATGTATATACATAGATACGTAATGATGCATATATCGATAGATTTACCGAATCATGTATGTATGTGTGGATATGTACGTGTATGTGTGTATGGACACGGAATTGATTTATATAGAGATTTTATTTGAAATATATGTCATATATGTGTACAGATGCAGTAGGTTTATTCTTATTGGTCGGCCCTTCTGTCAAACCTTTTTTCAACCAATGTAAGCCATAAGCCGTTACAGTTGTGGTGAGATACCAGATTCTAAAGAGCGGATTGGATAATTGGTGATGGCAAAACTGGTTGATTGTAGATATCTGATTTCTTGTGGCGCATTGCAGCATCCAGATCTTTCAGATCTTCTTTCGTATAGGATCGTTCTCCAGATGGAGTCGCAAAAACCCGGGTGTGCACAGCTTGGAAATCACCAGTTGTGGTAAGATGTGGTAAGTATTGACCAGAAAAAGTATATGATGTATTTCAAAGGGGTCATACCACCCTAAAAAAATAGGATATGTGGTGATATGGAAATAAGAATCTTATTTCCGGTTCAGTCATCCCCACCAACCATGCGAGCCCGTGCACATCGATCAATGTGCGATCAGCGTGCTGCTCAGGTTGAAACCTTTCCTTTGCCAGTCTCACCATGCTGCACGGTCTCCTGGGGGCCATGGGGAAGAGCGGGGCTCACTAAAAGGGTTGCCAACTTGTGAAGCAGAAATGATAGTTGATACCCGTAGCATATGGAAATATTGATTTTTAAAAAAGATATAGGTCAGCTGTCACCTATTTGACCGCCTGTATGTTGGTAAGTGCTCAAATGATCTAATGATTGGCACCTCTTGAAATGACCCACAATGATCAACATTCACATTTGCGGACATTGGCAGATTATTCCAATTTGTTTTGAACCACTCCAGCTGTGATGTAGAAACGGTGGCTCCTTTTCTTTGGCACCAGTCTTTTCGGCATCGTTCTTTTCCTGGCAGCAGGAAGGGAAGTGAGCACACTAATGTGAGTTCAACCACAAACAAACCTTGAATACCTGGAACTGATATAATATGTTTTTTCAGAAACCACCACTGATCCAAACATGTTGGACATTGTCAACACAAGATTAAAGGTGGGTATTTGTGTCATGTGCTTCCCCTTGAAATTTTGTCTAAAGTTTTATATCCCAGATTACGTTGCTAATCCCCATATATATGTCGAAATGAGAGCCAACCATGTGGTCCACGGCATATGCTAAACAGAAAACATAACCAAGCCCCTGCCAGATTCCAAAAAGTTTTCCATGGGTTCACCCAAGAATAGATCCACCCTTGCAGCCTCAGGTTTGGACGGAGGTGAGCTGCCATCCTCAAGGCCACCCGCATCCTCTTCAAAAGGGCCTTCGGGAAACTCTTTGTACTTCTCCATAAATTCCTGGGTTGGACGGACACCATAGGGAACTTCTGGAGCTTCATGGAGAAAGAGAAAATGCCCCAACAATTGTTCACGACGAATTCGGGCTGCAAGTAGTTCATCTCGGCGTGCTTTGATCTGCTCCAAAGTCAAAGACCCTTGAACAAGCTCCAAAGCGATGAAATGGGAGATAAACACAGCATCCTTGTGGGAAGTCCCTGGGTGTGGTTTCACGACAATTTGCATTTTCTGTGTCCATTTCGGTTTCTTTTCATCTTTGTACATCAAGGTCACAATCCGGTTTCGATCTTTCTGTGGTTTGTCCATGACTTTGACAACCCCCTTGTTCTCATCAGAACTCTCAAGCAGAACTACCTGTGATGAAGCATCCTTGGAAGAACTCTGCGCCTCAGCATCAACGTGGCCTGCAGGCTTTGGAAGTGCAGGTGTCGTCTTGGACGCCATAGGCCGCTTGGGCTTGGGAGCAGCCAATTTCTCTGTCAGATCTGCCTTAGATAGGAGCATACCCAAACAGACTGGATAATGGTAAATACATGAAGAAAACCGGAAATCTTGAAAATGGCTGAACATTGCTTGGTTTCAAAATGGAACATGTTGGGCCAGCTAGGAAAGTTTAGACTTGACAGTTAAGGACTCCCATAGCGAATTTTGGTAAAGGATTTTTTTAATGAATCTTCTTTCAAGATGCCATCGTTATGTGGGGAATTTGAACTCGGTGCCCATCTTTGAAAACACATTCAATCGCAGCATCGCTGTCCACAGAATGATCAATCTTGGGTGTTGCAGAGAACTCAATGGGACCACGAAGCTTGACCCCGAGGATCTCTTTTCTATATCCACACATGTGCTCCTCAGACCATCCAACTTCATAGTCTCTTGAGGGATCTGGTTTGATCTCACGTTTGGCTTCTGGCTGTTGTGCAGTTGGTGCACTTTTAGATTGGGGTTCTGGCTGAACCACTGGTACTGTTTGATCCGTTTTTTCAGTCTCAACACTTCTCAATTTTGATGGATCATTTGACGAAGTCCCAGCTTGACTGGAAATGGTCTCTATGGAACTAGGGCTTTGCAAGAAACGCCTTGGTGTCGGAGTTTGCACCGGGGCCTCTGGTTGGCCAGGTTTCTGCAGCGCTGGCGATGCTGCAGTCTTTCCAGTCGAAGGATGCACGTCCGAGGGCCCATCTCCTGGGGCGGCAATGGAATGGTGAAACAAATTAACATTGAAGTTGAGAAACATCAAATATAGATATATATATATACATATATATATATATCATTATATATCGTTATAGTTATATATCTATGTATGTATATTTATATATATATATCAATATTTCAGATGTGTCATTTTATATCGAAAGGAAGCATGAACGCTGAATCACATGGAAGAAACGGTTCTCACAGATGTACTTTAAGTCTAAATCCCATCCATACTTGTAACAACCTCCAGTGTCCTTCAAACATGGTAGACATTGGAGTTCTGGAAGAGCTTGTCATCGCAATGTCAGGAACCAGCATGAGGTCAGTAACAGATCCAAAATCCGGAGCGTCACCAAACACGTCCTCAGCACCCGGATTTTCTCAGAAGGGATGGTTAGAAGTTGAACCTTTTTTACATAATCAGATGATTTCGACACCTGGGTTTTTCACATCTATGCCGAATTGTTCAAAAACAAGTAACCTACAAACGGCATTGTAACAGGAATTGGTTTTTTAAAGTTCATGGCTTTCCTCCAAGGTGTCCAAGATGGCTCAATCCCTCAAGTTTCTATAACAATTTTCTTTGGCTCTTAGCTGTCTTAGTCAGCACAACTCCCCAAAATCGGATCAGCTTGTGAGACGAGTTTCAGCCATCAAATCAAATGTGCCATCATCAGTCTGGGATGGTCTGCTTGGGACTGCTGGCTGGGACTGTTTGGCAAGTGATTTTGCAGCTGGCTTGGGAACTGATTTGGCCGCTGTGCGTGTCACTTTCTTGGTCTTGTTGGCAT